GGGGGAGTAAAACACAGGGAAGTCAACTAATGTTTATACATATATATTATTTTGTCATCATCAAAAAGGGGGAGATTGTTAGATCTGATTTTAGTGATACAAATAATATATTTGTGCAGGAAATATGGATAACCATTCAAAGATGGAAGGAATCAATTAGAGAATATCAAGGAATCAAGGAGTTACTACGAGATTGAAGAAATCAATCAGGAAGCTTAAGGAAAGAAATCAATCAGCAAAGATCATGAAATCAATGGACAGCTACGATGGAAAGAATCAAGCAAGCCTAAACTTAAGGCATCAATCAAGTCCAGCACATTCAATCCGAAAGATTGAAGCAGACAAGAAGCATCGAAGATTCTGTAAGACGATTAATCGAGCTCGTATTTTCGGAAGGACCAACAATCAAGGAGTAAACCCGCGTCATCAAGATCTGTAGAAGGAAAGCCATCAATGCCCTCTCATCAAGGATGAGCAATGGCGAGTAACCTTATTCTTGGAAAGAATCAATCTCTTTCCAAGGATCAAATCTCTTGGGTTGTCAAATCTTCTCAGCAAACGGCCTTCACCAAACACCCTCTCTTTGTTCTACTGCAAACAAACATTGTAGCTCTCTAAGACCTGTTGTGTAACAAGTTAGAGAAGAAAGAGAGAACAACACTAGTGAGGCATTATATCAAAAGAGACGAGTGATATAGGAACTGAGCTATCACGTCATTTCCATTGTACTCGAAGAAACGCATTTACTAAAGAGAACTCTCTTGCAACCCAAGGGGACTGGACTAGGATTCACATTGAATCCGAACCAGTATAAAAATTCCGGTGTCTTTAATTCCTGCATTTACTTTCTGCATTTTACATTCTGCTATTACAACTGTTAGTTTATTGCATCTAGTCGACTAATCGATAAACCAGTCAACTAACAGAGATTAAGTTTAAAAATATACAATTCACCCCCCCCCCCCCCTTGTACTTTCAGATGCCACAAATTCATAGGGGTCCTTAGGAACTGTTTCATTTTGTGCATTTTGTTTAGTGGGAGTCAATTCACTATGGTTCATAGTTCATAGTCTTCTGCTGTTAGGAAGTCTTTCATTCTTGCTTTCCACCAACTGTAATATTTTCCATTGAACAGGGTTGGTCTGGTAGTTGATTGTCCTTCATTAATTCCGGCTGGAGCATGCATCTTGCTTCCAAGATCTCCGTAGGTGTTAACCGTGTGTGTGAAAGAATCCGCTCTGATACCAATTGTTAGTTTGAGTGCTTGTATGATTTACTAAACAACTTGGCTATTTACCGTGTTCCTTAAACTTGAAGTAAAGTAAACGCAACAGTTTTTATGTGGAAAATCACCCGGCTCAAAAGGTGCAAAAACCACGACCTACTATGTAGGATTTTCAACTTCAACTCCACTAGAACAATAAGCCAAAAATGTATCAATTACAAGACTGTAATTCAATACTCCTACTAAGACTATTTGATTTACAAGTTACTCCAACTTGTAAATTAATCATTCACTCCAACTCAGTAATTGTTTGTGATACTTTATTACAACTCGATTTCTTTAAACACATTTGCTAGACTGACTCAAGAAGAATACAATACAAGTACTCGACTAGGGTGAACAACATATGATTCTTCAGTTGATGTGTAAAAGGATAAAATCAGAAGTCCAAAGTAGATAGTATTTAAACGCATAGACTTGAGATCTTCTAGGAGTCCTGTACATAGTCAGCTTCTCCTTTGATAGGACTCCTATTGTTCCAAGGGGTTCCACAAGCTTTGGGACTCTTGTCTCTGACTGAATTATCAATATCTTCTTGAGCAACAACCCTTATCACATGTAGCAGCCTTCTTCCACCAAATTCGGGCTTGGGTAACTTTGAGATAAAGTTACTGTCTTGTACAGACGTACAATCATCAACTAGAGGAACTGGTCCTTTATCCTGAGTAGCTGGTTCTTAGAACAGTTAAGCAGCTTGAGGACCTGGTTCTTTGAATCATTGCATTTAAACACACTTTGTTAATCATCAAAACCTCAATACTGAACAGTTTTGTTTTAATTCACATAAATATTGGGGGATATATATAATCTTAATGATAGCTGGATTCTTCATATTGATACTAGAGGGAGCATATTTGTCAAAATGGAATATTGTTCTAGCTATTAATTAAAAGCGTATATTTCATGGTGGGTGATATAGGTGGAATCTATGACAAAGACTAAGAAAGTTAAGTGAAAATGGAACTCAAAAATCGCACTTTTAAAACAAGTTTTTCCTATTCTTTTCTCGCCAAATATATAAAATGTTTTTCTCCCACATATTGGAAAACAGTGACACGTTTAGAGATAAAAAAGTGACAATATAAAAATATTGCAGTATAGGGAACTACTCGAAGAACATGCCTACATTTTCTTCTTTTCCAGATGACCATTCTATCGGTCCCATAAAGAATGATACTTTTAGGTTTTCGGGAGTCAAATAAATTGTTTTTCATCACGATTTTCTTTAAACCTTTTAAATATTTTAATTTGTTAATTATTGTAATTTATAATATTCTTTATGTAACAACAACAACAACAACTACCCAGTAAAATTCCACATAGTGGGGTTTGGGTAGGGTAATGTGTACGCAGAGCTTACCCCTGCCCCGATAGGGCAGAGTCTTTATGTAATTTTAAATATATAAATTTTAAATTTTATTTTAAAAACTTAAAAATTTTATGACTGATTTCATGATTAAAATTAAGTAGCCTAACTCTCGAAATCCAATTATTTTTCCTTGCCACTTTGTTGTCTATGACTGATTTCATGATCAAAATTAAGTAGCCTAACTCTCGAAATCCAAAAAATATTATTTTTGTTTAGGACAAATGGAATATTAAAGTTTATAGCGCAACTAAATTGTGCCTATTGACTGTTTAAAAAGTTTTACGCTTACTGTACTTTTGCCAACTCCAATATACTGTTATTTCAAGGCTGTTTCACAGCTAAATCCAATAAGAAAAAAGTACTTTAAAAGTAATTAAGGGCTGAGAATTTTTTTCCTTAGCCACTTTGTTGTCTAGTTTGCAAGATTTCACTGTCTTGTTATGTAACTTTCTGAGGGGACAAGTAAATCATCGCTTTTGGGTGCAATTGTCAACTCAAACTTAACAGTTTGTTTGGATGGTTGTTCTTCGTTGTATTGTATTGTATTGTTATCCCAAAACAATATTTGTTTTGATTGTTTCATTATAATTAGTTGTATTGTATTGTTAAATCCATTGTTCCGGAACAATGAAAAGTCCCCTATTTTGAAACAACCAATTTGGTGTGGTGGGATTGTTTCCTATTTTTCTTTCCAATTATGCCCTAACTTATTACTCCATAATTCTATTTTACCCTTTATTTTTTTTTTTTTTTAGCTCCAAATCTCCAACTTATAACCTACTTTATTTTTTTCCAGACCAATGTTAAAGGTGTTTTGTTGCCTCCTGTTTTATTTTTTTCTCCTAATTTGCTTGTAACTCAATTCTAATTAGTTGTGCTCCTTTGTTTTGCCTTTTTCTGTCTCGCTCCTTTTTTCTGCTTTCTTATTGTGTTTTGCCTTCTTCTGTTTTGTTTTATAAAATTATTTTTATACATAATTTTGATAAATTTAATATTAAAACAATTGAGGGTATTTTAGTAAACTTATCAGTTACAATACAGTACGATACAGTCAAATCAAACACAAAATATTATTTAACAATAACAAACAATACAATCTATCCAAACATTGTATTCATAAAACGATACGGTACAATACGATACAATACAATACAATACATTATAAAACGATAGGGAACAATGATCCAAACAGAGTGTAAAAGTAAGAGATACATGCACTTTGTTTTTAATGCGTTTGTTTTAGAACATATTTTCTCACCAATAAGGGTCGTAGTGAAGTGATAAATACTCCTTTATCCTTAATCAGACGTTTCGAATTCGAACCTTGTCTATGGAATCACCTTTGTTAGTGAGCATTTTACCTCCCAATGTGAAACTTTTCTGCGCGAATTTGAACTTAGTTAGGCCCCTATAAAAATACCGCGCACCGAATGGGAAACCCAAAAAAAGACCATATATTTCCTCTATTCCATTTTATGTAAGTGCATTTTTTTTCATGTGTCCCAAAAAAAAGGGCATTTCAATATTGAGGAATAATTTAATTTAAACATTTCATTTAACCCGTAATGACATAACTTTATAACCATTAAAATGTTTTGTTATATTTTAAATTCTAAATTTTGATGTCATGTGATCAGGAGGCTACGGGTTCGAACTGTGGAAATAGCCTCCTGTAGAAATGTAGGGTAAAGTTGCTGTTAGGACCGAAAAATCAGGTGTCATGCGGAATCTAGCAAAGCAAACGTTGAACGACGATAAATCACAGAACAAAGAGAAATCTACCAAAAGTGACACAAACATTTAACGTGGTTCGGTCAACTGACCTACGCCCACGACGGAGATGAGCAATCCACTATAATAAAAGAGAGTACAAAATATTGAGAGAACAACCTCACGAAGAGGCAAACACAAGTGACACACTAACACTTGTCCCGTAAAGTTCTCCCCCTAAACAAGACTCTCAAGCCCCCTATTGCTACATTGTGGATGCTACTGAATGAGAAGGAGGGATCCTCAATTTATAGAAGTCCAAACATTTTTCTACAAGAAAAAGGACTAGCCAAATATTGGAGATCTATAATTTCCTTTTACAAAAAGGAAAACCCAATTAAGGTAAACATGTTGCCCTTTCCTTCAACAAATAGGAAAACTAAATATAGTAAGAAAATCTGGACAAACACCTAACAGTTGCGTACGATAGACCCTTGTAAACTGACCCTTCTTCGAACCTCGCGGGAGCTTAGTACACCGGGCTGCTTTTTTTTTTTCTTTTTTCTTAAGCTCCTCGCTCGGTATAACATGAGAGACGTGAGTAATAAATAGAAGCCACTCACTCCACAATTGGAATCATCCCCTGCTCTCCTTCCTACCAACACACAATCATTCCTACATCTAAACATCTGCTTCGCCAGAAACAATTGCATTTCACTTCTTACAATAGTCTGCAAACAATAAGACTATACTATTATACTAACAAACTTCATTCCGTTTTGTTTTCTTCATTAAAAAATGGACTGTCCGAACTGCCATACAACGTTATTACAACTTCCACATGGTGCTCAGTGCATGCGCTGTGCCGCCCGCCGTGCAGTCACTCGCATCGGCGGCCGGCTACAGCTACTTGCCTACAAAAACCACCACATTGCTCAGACCTTTTCTTCCTATGGCCGTCGTACACCTTCTAGTAATCAACTCCCTTCGCCTTTTGGCCGAAAAAGAGCTTTGATCATTGGTATTACGTATAAAAAGACCAAGAATGAGCTTAAGGGCTGTCTCAATGATGCTAAATGTATGAAGTATTTGCTTGTCAATCGATTCAAGTTTCCTCAAGATTCTGTTCTCATGCTCACTGGTAAAACATTCTTTCTCTCCTTATTACTTTAACTATCGAGTTTAACTTTTATACATAGATGGAAGGAACACGGTAATCTACATACATTAGATTGCTTGTAATTCGTAAATCGAGAACTTGTTCGCGTAGCGGAAGCGGAAGAAACCGCAGCTGGAATCACTAATCGGTGGTGATTGTCACGATATTTCGGAGCAACCCCCTATTCCACAATCTAAACCCTAACTGTAATTAAAAGAAAAGAGAGTAAAAAAATACTGCAGAAAGTATATTTTATTGTACATTTTAGGTATACTTATATAAAGAATATTAGGGTTGACTAATAATCCTAATGGGCCTTAAAGCATCGTTTATGGGTGAGCCCAAAGACAATATAAAAGAAATTTTACTTTTAGCAAATGACCAAATGATGACTACAAGCAATTAACAGCATGAAGAATAAGGCGGGTTACCTATTATAACAGGTTAAAATGTATATATACTGACTATTTTCATTGTCCGTGTATAACAACAACAAGAACGTATCCATTATAGTTCAACAAATGAGTTCTGGGGAGAATAATATATATGCAGATCTTACCCCTACTTTGAGAAGGTAGAGAGAGTGTTTTCTAAAGACCCTCGGCTCACGTTGTCAATGTATATAAATTAAATCCTACTTTTTCTGTATGGTCCAATGGGTCGTTTTCTGCTGGAATATATTCCCCGAGTATAAGTTAAAATCTTTGTCCTCGCCTACTTTCAAAACAAAGGGTTAATTTTCAAATATAAAGTTTAAGTTCTATATATTGACGGTATAAAACTATACATATTCAATTTTGAAATTGACAGTATATATAATTTAATGTAATCCTAAATGCAAATAGTCTTTTAGCGTTTCAGCTATTAATTTAATCCAACCTAATGGATTCTTTGATGCGCAATTCCACTTGAACTAGGCATCTGATTCATAGAGAGTATGATAATTGTATTTTGCTATAGAATTTCATTATATTATTGTCCCATTAACACATTATAAAATAATTTCCCTAAAGAATTAATTTAAGATGCCTTTGTAGCTTTCTTCAATCACAGTTTTCATAAAGAAAGTGCACCAATTAAAAATGTGTAAAGCTACTTAAAAATTTCATTATTTTGTTCTTCTTCAAAGCCTTTGTGTAAATTAGTAGGATTTTAAGTTCTATGCACGACGGTGTAAAGAACTTTTATATTCTTGGTATAATTTAATATTGTCATCGTTTATTATAGTTTAATACTTATTAAATAAAGTTACTTGTAATTACGTTTTAAGTGACCTGATTATGTATATAGTTTTTATACCATTAGTGCATAGAGTTTAAACTCTTGTTTGTACAAACCATTTTTTTCATTGTTAGTTTGTCGAATTTTATTACATTTTCTATTTGGAGGTCTATGGTTTCTGTTGACGGTACTGATATACTATCTCTTCTCGTCTTTTCCGTCTTCTTGAGCCGAGGGTCTATCGGAAACAGCCCCTCTCTCTCTGCCCCATCGGGGTAGGGGTAAGGTCTGTGTACACACTACCCTCCCCAGACCCCACATGTGGAATTTTACTGGGTCGTTCTTTTTGTTGTTGTTGTTGTTGTTGTTGTTGTTGTTCTACTTGGAGGTCTAGAAGGGGAGCCTTAGCGTAGCCGGAAAAGTTGCTGCCATGTGACCAGGAAGTTACGGGTTCGAGCCGTAAAAATAACCTCTTGCAGAAATGCAGGGTAAGGCTGCATACAATAAACCCTTGTGGTCCGGCACTTTCCCGGACCCCGTGCATAGCGGGAGTTTAGTCCACCGGGCTGCCCTTTTTGCCCTATATGGAGGTCTAATTTCAAATTTCCATTTTACAGAAGAAGAAAGAGATCCCTACAAGATTCCAACTAAACATAATATAAGAACAGCAATGTACTGGCTTATGCAAGGAGTTCAAGCAGGGGATTCTCTGGTGTTCCATTTTTCTGGTCATGGTTTACAGCAAAGGAATTACAATGGCGATGAAGTTGATGGTTATGACGAAACGCTTTGCCCTTTGGATTTTAAAACACAGGGTACGATTATTGATGACGAACTAAATGCAACACTCGTTAAGCCACTTCCTCCTGGAGCGAAGCTTCATGCCATAATAGATGCTTGTCACAGTGGAACTATGCTTGATTTGCCGTTCCTTTGTAGAATGGACAGGTCTGCAACACTACATTTTTGTTTCTTGCTAATACTTTTGTTTAGTAGGATAGTAGATACTAGAGTAGAGAAGAGTTAAATACGTAAAAATAGCACAGGCTAGCCAGTTTTTGGACTTAAAAAACAACCAGCCTTTGCAAAGTCATTGAAAAATAGCCATTGTTTTGCTGAAACACGGAAACTTTCAGCATAATATGCTGGATTATAGAGCTCTTGTGTATAAACTTCCAGCATACTATGTTGGAACTCCAGCACACGAAAAGTTCCAGCATAATATGCGGGATTATAGAGCTCCTGCATATATAAACTTCCAGCATATTATGATGGAACTCAAACACATTATAAAATCGAAAAAGGGTCTGATATATCCATGTACTATGATAAATTGTTTAAGATTATCTCTCGTTATACTATTGGGCCATAAAAGTCCCTACCGTCCAACTATCCTAACAAATCTACCCTTAGTTTAACGGAGGTGCCACGTGGCATCCATCCTTGCCTCTTTTTAAATTTGGGCACATAAGAGATGACCCGCTCCATGAAACCCACCAACCCATAACCCATTTATAAACCAAAGAGATATTTTTATATTGCATATTGGTGTAACAAAAAATTCAAAAACATACATACATATCTCCTGAATAGAGATTACTATTTGATTAATAGATGTTACTCTTGTTCTCCAAAATAAATTTCTAAAACTTAAAAAAACAAAAATCCAAATGTCGGAGAAGCGGAAGAACAACCGATTTAGTGAAGAATCCCAATAAAACGAAAACCAAAATAGAAAAACAAATTTAAGGTCTAAAAACGGAACAAAAACAGAGAAATGAAATAGGAACGGCCTAAAAATATTAAAAAATAATTTTTGAACCTTTAGATTGTAGAATCATCATAAGGTCGAGAGGAAAAGCCATTGAAGGTCGAACAGCATCTAGAGAGAGAGAGAGTATATAGATAGATAGAGAGAGATATATTCTCTTCTAGTGATTTTATTGCTTTTGATGTTTCATTTGAAAAATCAGGAAGAGGCATCTGCCACACAAGTGAATATGTTGCCCTACTGTCTTCTGTTTTGTTTTAACAAAAGAAATAAGTACCAAGCTAACAAATTCATTAAAAAAAACTAGCAGAGAGCAATACATGTGGCTTGCACATTTGTTGATGTGGGGAAAGAGTTCAAACTTAATCCGAAAATGAAATGGACAAAGCTGGAGAGTATTTTCATGTTCTAGATAGTTAGTGAGAGAAGAAAATGAAACAGGAAAATGAAATGGACGAAATGGGTATTATTTGGTTTAGAAATGGGTTATGGGTTGGTGGGTTTCATGGAGCGGGTCGTCTCTTATGTGCCCAGATTTAAAAAGAGGCAAGGATGGATGCCACGTGGCACCTCCGTCAAAGTAAGGGCAGATTTGTTAGGATAATTGGACGGTAGGGACTTTTATGGCCCAATAGTATAATGGGGGATAATTTTAAACAATTTACCACAGTACAGGGATATATCAGACCCTTTTCCGTTATAAAATTTCAGCATATTATACTGGAAGCTCATATGTAAAAAATTTGAACTGCAACATATTATGCCGGAATATCTCAAGATTTTTAAGAGTGTTTTTGTTCAGATTTTATCTTTATTACATGATAAGTTGTTAAATTTCAATTACTTTTGAAATTATGGATATTTTTCAATTACCAATCATAATATGGCTATTTCTGATTTTATCCCGTTAAATACACGGATGATCTTTCAACTTTTAATTTGTTGTACCGATGTCATAAAACTAATTTTGTAGCAAATAAGCACTCAGATATGCCTATAAATCACATAAATATATAATGCCAGAAAATTTTGCCATGACACCTGATTATTTCAATCCCAACAAATTTAACTCTCCCTTCAATTAAGTGATATAAGAGAGTTTTATGGATACAGTACTGGACGATATGTGTGGGAAGATCATCGTCCTCCTTCAGGAGTATGGAAAGGAACAAGTGGTGGAGAAGTCATATCTTTCAGTGGTTGCGACGATCATCAAAATTCTTCAGATACAGATGTAAAATCCTTTTAACATCCTAACTTTTGATTTTCTTTGAATTAACCTAAGTAAGCTAATAGAATGACTTATTAATTGATAACAGAGTTTGTCTAAGGTCACTTCAACTGGTGCAATGACTTTTTCTTTTATCCAAGCAATTGAACGTGGACAAGGAACAACTTATGGGAGTATTCTGAATGCAATTAGATCTTCCATTCACAATTCTGGTGGTGATGTAGGAGGCAAAATTGTCACATCTCTTCTCACAATGCTTATTAATGGAGGAAGCATTGGCATTGGGATGAGACAGGTAACTTTAATTTTAGCTTATAATACATTTTGTTGGAACTGAATTGTCCTTTAAATGTAAAAGGAATGAAGATTAAATTGATCTATTTCCAGAAAATAAAGGGCTTTTTGCACTTTTAGCCCGCGCCAGAAACTATTTACGTTCGGTAGCCGAAAAAGTGTATAAATTTTGTATAGTTTTTGTATATAACATACAGAATGTATATATATACAAAAAATATACATTTCTTTGGCTATTATTTTGAGAGCGGCTATACAGTGTCATTTTCCCGAAAATAATAAATAATTTGCCTTTTGGTTGCAGGAGCCGCAGTTGACTGCTACTGAGCCATTTGATGTGTACACCAAACCATTCGTGTTATAACATCTTTAGCAACATTAGCTACCTCTGGTTTTCATGTACTTTGGGTCTCCTTGCGTTTGCAGTTGTTTTAACCTCTGTATTGCTAAATTTCCTTCCCCTCTTTCCTTTCTTTTTCTTTGTATCTTTCCCTCTCAATGAACACAGTTTAATTTGTCTTGGTATAACTTACAGTGTTGACAGTTGACACTTTAGGAAATGAATTGATTCTTGAATCAAAAATAGCTGTGTCAATTGAATGTACTGCAATATATGCAGGGAGATGAATGTTGAAAGTACATATTCTGAGGCAGAATGATATTTGTTAAAGATATACTCATATATCCTTCTTTCTCATTTCATTTTTTTCCGGTTCATATGTTGTTGGTAGCTTTTCCTGGCCTTGTTGTGAATATTTGCTTGTTTCTATTCTTCCTCTCAAGCCGATGATATTTCGGAAACAGCCTCTCTGCCTCCCCAAGGTAGGGATAACGTCTGCATACACATTACCCTTCCCAAACCCCACTCGCGGGATCCCATTGGATTGTTTGTTGTTGTTGTATTGTTTCTGTTTCCTTAGCAGCTGGAAATGGCAGAAATAATGTAATAGTATAATATTACTTGCTTTCAGTGCATTCCGTCTTTTCTTTAGCCGAGGGTTCGAAAACAATCTATGTACCCTTCCGGATTAGGGGTAAGGCTGCATACATCCTACCCTCCCCAGACCCCACTTGTGGGATTACAGTGGATTGTTGTTGTAATGTAATAGTATAATAGTAAAATCTAGCGAAGGTTTATGAACAGCGTAATTTTGATGCTTTACTTAGACTTGAATGAAATTGGTGCTAGATATAATAGAAAAAGAAAAAGGGAAATAGGTAAATAAAGGCCTCTTTTTACCTTCAAATTCACTTTGGACGTCCGCCTCCTACTAAGTTTCAACGCTGTCTACACAGCCCATTAAACTTGGCCTAATATTTTATTTGGGCACTCTAACTAACTCTTGTTCCATTTTGGCCCTTCAATTCCACTTTTTTTGTTCCACTTTAACACAAAATTTTTTCCCTCTAGGTAAAAATGTAGAGCGTGCAAATACCCAACTGCTACCCCCCCCACCCCACTTCCCCCCCTCCCCCCCCCTCCCCCCCCGCAAAATTTTTTTTTGGTAATTTCAAAGTATTTTGTTTTTTCCTTTTTTCTGCCCACATCCAGAGGAAAAATATTTTTTTAAAATATATTTTCAGTAATAACTACAGGTTCAACTGAACCCATAACTTTCGACGCAGAGTAAAAATTTGTATGTAAAAATTCATTAAAAATGTAAAAAAAATAGATATGAACCCATAATATTTAAAAATATAATAGGTTCTTTTGTTCCACTTTGACACAAAAACTTTTATCCCAGGCAAAAATACAGCGCGGACAAATACCCAGCTGCTACCCCCACCACCCGCATTTTTTTTTGTAATTTCAAATTATTATTTTTTCGTTTTTTCTGCCCCCTCTCGTGGAAAAAATATTTTTATGTATATATTTTCAGTAATAACTACGGGTTCAACTGAACCGATAAATTTCGACGCGGAGTAAAAATTTGTATGTAAAAATTCATTAAAATTGTAAAAAATAGATATAAACCCATAACTTTAAAAATATAATGGCTTCAATATTAAAAACATTAAAATTGAATCCATATGATTTAAATTCTGGATCCGCCTCCACGTTAGGAGTATGAAAAATAGTCAGCTTTTGTGTCAAAGTGGAACAAAAGAAATGGGGTTGGAGGGCCAAAATGGAACAAGGCTGAGTTAAAGTGCCAAAATGAAAAATTGGGCCAAGTTTAATGGGTTGTGTATGTATTTGGCCATGGAAATTTGGCTGAAAAATGGTCCCTCACACGCCTAAAGGGGGAGGCAAATCACACACTAAATCTAGTGAGCTTTTGTGTTAAAGTGGAACAAAGAAAATGGAGTTGGAGGGCCAAAATGGAACAAGAGTTAGTTAGAGTGCCAAAATGAAATATTGGGCCAAGTTTAATGGATTGTGTATGTATTTGGCCTTTATTAATTTATTTGCTTGACATTACATCAAGTCAAGCTAAAATGTGTTTCATTTTCCAAGCCTCATCAGAGGCATACTGTTAAAGAAAGCTTGTCCAAGACAATGATAATGCTAGGATCTAAAACAGATAAATTATGTAAAGCAACGGTAACGTAAAGCTCTGTAACGGCAACAAACAGACAGAGTGAGAACTGGAAACCAACACAAAGAATACACCCGAACTGAAAATCAGGTAGCATGAGACGACTGCACAATTGCTTTTAAACAATCTATTTCTCATTACTGCAGTTTAGCATACAGCTGAAAAGGAAAGCTTAACGCAACATTTATTTAAAGTGATGACTTAAAATAGGTATTCCACATATACTTGAACAAGACAATATATGTCGGAAATCAGCTTATGCAAAAGGCTGAAGAAGTCGATCAAGCAGACACAAAGGAAAAAAGAAAATTGAACAAGGACAAAGATTGTATCCCTGCTTGTTGCTTAACCAGTGAGAGCAGCATTAAGGGCACTGTGTACATCAACTCCAATCTGGGCTTCAGCTTTTTCTACGTCAGTTGAGGCAGTGCCTAGCTTCTGTGTAAACTCAGCGAGGCCCTTTTGAACCAAATTGGCATCGATGCGGTCAAGTGGTACAGCTTCAACAGCAATTATATCAGCAAAAGAATTTGCATGAACAAATGCAAATCCACCACTCACAAAGTACTTGGTCACATCGTTGCCTTCATGAACGGATAAGACACCAGGCTTCAGCTCAGCAATCGTCGCTACATGTCCAGGTAAAACACCCATCTGTCCCGTAGTTGCAGGGATTATAACCATGTCAACCTGCATATAATGCAAAAGGGAGGATGATCAAAGCTTGTATGAGATTTTCCAGAGCCAATCATGCACATTCCTCAAGAGCATACTACTACACCTCACACAAGTCTTTGTGCATCATTTGACAACTGTTGAAACATTGAATGAGAAACAAAATGTTTCTCTGTTTTATTAATGTTCAGTATACAATGCTAAACTTAATGCAACTACAGTCAGAACCTCGAATATATCAACCATTTGTGGAGCACCCTTGAAAGTTAGCCCAAATTTTAATAAGGACGAAGTTTGTCAAAGGCAGCAAGACTCCATGCTGATCAGATTCTTGTGAAACTTAATACAACTGAACGGCTATATTACTGTGTTGTTATCCAGAAGATTCACTGATATCTCTTCACTTCAAGTTTCAAATAATTGTACCACCGGTAGAATAATTATTTTGTTGCATTATTCCCTTGTAGCATAAACTAATCAACTGAATTAGGCAAATAAATGTTCCTTAGGAAGGCCATCCTTGCAAAAAGAGTATTAACTTCTTAGTTAAACCAAATTTAAATTATACAAAAGGACGAACAAATTATTAGTTGCTTTTTCCAAAGCAATAACTGCTAACTAATTCATTCCTCAAAAGGAGATTTCACAAGGATTTTTCGCATGAAATTACTATTAAGCAAGAATAAGATAAAAAGGCTTCAACTTTAGTAACCTTCATGAAGCAAAATTGGACCCATTATACTACCATAAAAGACTTCCTCTGATCCAGTTGATCCCTCAAAAAAACAATTTACCCACAAGCTACACGTGTAGTCCCCACTTGACCAACTTTACATTGTAAAATGTCTACAACGCGTGTGACTGTCACGCTTAAAAGCTTAAACTGTTAGAGATGGAGCACTTTTATTTACTTAATTTTATCTTCAACACACTTTCACGTGCATGTCTGATTCTTTTTCATGAACCAAACACATGATAATATTTTTTTACGGCAACGACACTTGAACCCAAAACCTTTAATTATTCTAACTTGATATTGAGGTATGTGATCACCTCATTTAAAAACTTACACCATTAGAGATCTACGTCATTTCATGGGTTTGATATGTGACCACTCATCTAAATATTTAACCATCTATTCCATATTTGTTCTTGATGACATTTCTCTTTCAGGCCTCTTTTTCATAACTCAATCCCAATACCACTTCATAAATAAACCCCTAGATCTTTGATTTCCAATCGCCCATCTCTCTTACTCTTGGAGAGTGTGCTCCATTTGAATAGGTTACAGGACTTCCTTCCATTATCACCTTGCCACAGCCCACAAGAAATCTCTTCTCACTTTATCAATTATCTTCTCAGAATCTCAATCTAGGCTGACAAAGGAAACAAGAATTCACATAAATTGGTAGAGAATCCAGCACACCGTTAATCACTAATCTTCCCCAAAGGAAATGCATTGATTGTTACAGCTCGCAACCCTCTTTTCACACCTTTCCAACACTCCCTGCCATATCTCTTCAGCTCAGTGTCTATCACCAAAAGGAAGACCCAACAGTAGGCAAAGTCCCTGTCAGACAGCCCAGAATTCTAGCCAAACTAGCACTAACACTGTTTCACACCTCATTGGAAGGGAACGAGTTTTTCCTCCAATTAATATGAAGACCAGAGTTTGCTTCAAATACCACTAGAATCAACTTCAAATGTCTTAATTGACTACTAGATCATCACAAAGGAAGAGGATATCATTTCTTACAATAAGTGAGAGAATTCCATATTACATTAATACTAAATCCCTGTAACCTTCATTTATGTTAGCCACTTTCAACATACCGCTGATATTTCAATCACTAAAACGAATAGGGAGGAGGAGATGGGATCTCCCTGTCTCACCCTTCTTAAAATCGAAAAGAATCCTTCAGGAACTCCAGTTATCATTACGGAGCACTTAAAAGTGCTCACACAAAAACTTATCTAGCTAATCTATTTACCATCAAATCCCATTTCCTTTAGCATATTGGTAAGAGAACTACATTTATGATTAGAGAGCAGTAAACACTAAACAGTGCTCACACAAAAAATTATCCAGCTAATCTATCTGCTATCAAATCCCTCCTTAAGCATATTAGTAAGGAAACTTGAATTAACATTATCAGAGACCTTCTCAATGTCTAACTTACACAGGAGTCGGGACTCACAATAAGTTCCTTTTTTGTCTTGTGTTTAAGCATTCATTGGCAATTAGTGCAACATCCAGGATGTTCCTTCCCCTTATAAAAGCCATATGTGCATCATCCACCAGCTTATGCACCACCTTTTTGAGTTTCTGACAATATCTTTGAGATAATCTTGTAGATGCTTCCAATCAAACATACGCCTAAAATCCCTTTAAACTTCACAGCTTCAATCTTTTGGGTATTAAGGCCAAAAACGGATCCAAGATTTAAACTTTATACGTTAGAGTTCGGAATTCTACCCCACCACATTAGATTTACAGGCTTCGAAAATCTATTATTTGTACTTATTTAGCCAATTTATTAACACATATACAGGATCAGAGCCAAAGTTACTGGGATCGGATGAAATCATAACATTAACAATGCATCCGCCCTTGACTAAGGCTATGAAGGTGGCAGTGAACCTCTTTTCGAACCTCTCTTGCTTTAACATCAACATTAAAAGTTGAAATTCATGCAAATTTAAGCATGCAAAATAACATTCTTGTGTGTCACTTCATGAACATCAAATCATTTGAATCTAGATGGAGTCTAATACTCCCTATCTTATTTTTCTTCTTTTTGATACGCAACGGTGTCTATTACTCCCTTTCTTCTATTTTATACTACACTATCACCGTTGGAAAGCAATCAATTTTTTCTTTGACTACCAGCTACCTTCCACCATATGCACAGGTACCAAGTAACTCTGCCCACCAGGTCTTAGGCAAATGGAAGGAAATCACCTAGTATTATTTTTGCCTCAAGTGAGATTTGAACCTGAAACCTCATGGTTCTCCTCCTACTTCATTTACCACTAAGCAATCATAAATATTACTATGAAATATAATTTTCAAATCAATAAATTCTATCAATCAAAATCTGAATTCAAATCGAAAATTTAGATGCTTTATCATCAATAGTTAAGGACTACTAGTATCTTAAAACTCCGAATTCAAATCGAAAATCAACACATCATAAACGAGGAAATTCAAAAGGAAGAGCTAATTTTCCATATTATTATTACCTCTTTACCAGAGAGTTCAGAGGAGTAAGGAAGGACAAAGTTGACAGTGAGCTTAGACGGAATCGACGACGGTGTAGCGGGCCTCGCAGCCATGAATGCAGATGGAGTTTTAGGTGGTTCCACATTTGGAACTACTTTCCTCCAAGCTTCGATGAAGTTGGAATCTGCAACGGACTCCGCAGGCAGATCGGTTGAAAATGGGCGGCGCCACTTCATTGTGGTGGTGGCTCTGGTCAGGAATCGAGAACCGTGTCGGAACATTGTTACGGCGATAAGGGGGCGGAGATCGACGGCGATTTTGCAGAATGTGATCGGAGTTTTGGAAATGCAACGAGGGCTTGGTGGAATGACTGACTTGCTGGATCCTATCCAAGGCCCAAATGTAAAGGAATTTTCTATTTCTAGTAAAAATTTGATATGGTATTTAAAATGTTAATTTCACTTAAATATAAATGTTTAGTAATAATGAAAAAAAAATTAGAGTAATGAAGTGAAACTTTCACTTAATAGATAAAATATTATGTCAAATTTAAAAGTTGAATAGATTAATCAATTTAATTTCTTGAAAGTTATAAAGTGGTATAAAACTATAATTGAGTCAATATTACAAAATGAGAAAAAGTATCATATAAACTAAAACAGAAGGAATAATATTGTTAGTTTTTTATATGATCTCAATATAAATTTGTTTTTCTTTTGTGATTTAAGAGACCTATTTTGCGGTGAACCTATTTTTTAGTACACAGGAAAAGACTAAATAAATTTCTTTAAAAAATTTAAATATGTCCTCCTCTTCGATGAGCTTCATAGTAAATACACAATCCATTTCCATTTCCATTTCTAATTATTATATCCTCTTTTTCTTTTAATGCTAATTTTAGTTCTTGTTTGATGTTTCATGGTACCGTAATGACGCTTGATATATGCTTCATCTTACCTGATAAACGGAGAATCCTATTTAATTCTTAAGGAAATTAATTTTATTTTACCAAATTTAATGACCTCCGTTTTAATAAAAAAAATTACCTACATTTCTTATTTTATATATATATATATATATATATATATATATATATATATTAGGTGTAATTTATGTGTGGGAGGAAGAACAAAAGAAATAAAAACGAATATAAGCTGAGAAAACNATATATATATATATATATATATATATATATATATATAAAGCTTATAACAAAAACTAGGAAATACAATGCATAGTATTGTCTATGCCGGAGTACTGTAATTCCCCCAATACTGCGATGCTTTGTTCAACTGTATTAATATTACATGCCAAAAATTTTCTAACAACTTTAGTTTCTAAGATGTCTGCCCAAAATATATCATTTGCAAACATCAGAGGAACTGCTAGTATGCTGGTTCGTCCCAAAAAACATGACTTTGTTGCCTCTTTCGCCAGCACATCGGCCACCTTATTATGCTCCCTGTAGGTGTGCCTCACCGTTACCTTGTCCATCCTTTGCATTAACAACCTGCATTCACAAATCATAGGATCATAAGTTAAGTTACTTGCGAGAAGCATCTGAATTATTTCAGCCGAGTCAGCATTGATGTCCAGAGGATCCATCCATTTTGCTCCGCTAGTTGTAGCCCTTTTAGGAGAGCTTTCAGCTCAGCCATGGTATTGGTGGTATGTGGTATATTCTCCATATCCCCCATAATCCAATCCCCATTATGGTTCCTGAATACTCCACTGATTCCTCCAATGCCTGGATTACCCTTGGCAGCACCATCCGTGTTTAGTTTGTAGTGGCCTCTCCTAGGGCGCTCTCATTTCACATTGGTGTGAAAAAGGCTTCTTGATGGCACCATTCTTCACCAACATAAAGTATTTTGTTGCTTTTGAGATGGTGTTGGTGGTGCTGATGCTATCTTTTTTGTTGTTGAAGAGGTTGTGATTTCTAGTTAGCCACCAAAAATAGAAGGGAGTGATGTTCTCCCAAGGAATGCTTCTGTTAAAGTATGCGTTCTTAAGCTTGTTCCATGTTGATGGCCATAGTTGGGCTGAGAAAATGGGATTTAGCTGTCTACTTGTAGTAGAAGTCTTTGATAGTAACTCCTACTAGAATTGACTTGCATTTGTGCATTCAAAGAAAATGTGCTCACTTGTTTCTTGATTTCTTTGACAGAAGCAACATTGGGGGTTACAGTTAACCCCAATTCTGTGCAGGTAGGCTCTAGTAGGCAACCTGTTTTGGGCAAGGAGCCATATGAAGCTCTTAACTTTGTTAGGAGCTATCAATTTCCATATCCAAGTGAAGGTCTCTTCCTCCCCATTTCCCAAATACTCTTTGTTATTGCTAAGGAAGGTATAGGCTGATTTGTTGTTGAAGGACCCGCTTGGAGTCAATCCCCATATTAGCCTATCCTCTTTGGTCGTATTGGGAGGGATGAAAATAGATTTGATCATGTTGGAGATATTTCCAAGCATGTCCATAGAGATTGAAGAGAAGTCCCAGTTCCCAGAATTGTAGACAGAGTCTACTTTGATAGCTAAGTCGTTTGGGGTTAGGGGGCCTGCAATCATTTTTCTAATGGCTAGCTGGTTAGGGATCCAAGTATCATTCATGAAACTCACCCTGTTGCCCTTATGGACCACCTATCTACTAGCATTCCTGCATGTATCCTATCCCTTGAGGATGCATTGCCAGATAGGAGATTTTGGTTTCCTGGGGGTATGGTTCCAGTTACAGTGCTTAGAAATCAGCACTCTAGCCCATAAGCTGGAAGTGTTATGGTAGATCCTCCAAGCCAGACTGGCATGAGAAGCTTTATTTTTCAGCTCAGCTTTTTGTAAGCCCAGGACACCATTGCACTTCTTCCTAGTGACTTTATCCCAGCTAACTAGGTGCATTTTTTTCTTATTAGGGGTAGTGCCCCAGATAAAAATTTCTTTATTCTATCAATTTTCTTGGTGGTTTTGGTGGGCAAATTGATGTATTGCATGACATGGCTAGGGATACTACTGAGTGATGTCTTGGCCAGAATGGTCCTTCCAGTCATGTTGAGACAATTTATTTTCCAGCCAGCCAGTTTGGATTGCATATTGTCTATTATGAACTGGAAATCAAAACTAGTGGGTCTCTGAACATAGGGAATACCAAGATATTTTCTAAAGGAATCAGTAGCTTGGATTGACAATGCATTTGTAAGACCTTCCATGGTATCCTGGTTTGTGTTAGAGGAGAAAAGAACTCTGGACTTAGTGAGGTTAATTATTTGGCCAGAGTTCTCATTGAAAGCCTGCAGGATAGAATATATGATGGTGCAGTTCCTATTGTTGGCCTTGGCAAACAATGTAAAGTCTTCAGCAAAGAAGAAGCGGGAGATTCTTGGGCTAGACTTGTTGATACTGATAGGCTGCCATTGCATGTCCAGTACAGCTTGATCAATTGACTTGGAGAGTTTGTCCATACACAGAATGAATAGGTAAGGGGAGATGGGGTCCCCTTGTCTGATGCCTCTGGAGGGCTTAAAAGATTCAGTTTTGCCTTCATTTACTAAGATTGAGGTGCTGGATGAGCTAATGCATGACAGGATTAGCTTAGTGAGCCTAGGTGGGAAGTTGAAGGCATAGAGTGTGTCTCTAATGAAAGATCACTCTAGCCTGTCAAAATCTTTTTCTAAATCTATTTTGAGGATCATATGAGCCTGTCTCCCCTTCATGTTCCCAAAGTGAGTAATATACTCTTGCACAATGATAGCATTATCAAAAGCCCTCCTATTTGAAAGAAAATTGGCCTGGCTAGGGCCAATTATGTCAGGTAGCATAGGCTTGATTCTGTTGATAATAATCTTAGTGATGGACTTGTAGATGGTGTTACAAAGTCCAATTGGTCTGAAGTTTTTGAGCATGGAAGCTTGGGGGCACTTAGGATGAGACATCAATGTTTGATTCATGGTCTAATTCATGGAGTTAGTATCGAATAATTGCTTGTAGAAATCAATTACTGAGTTTCCTACAATGCTCCAATACTTCTGATAGAAGAAAGGATGGAGACCATCAGGCCCAGGAGCCTTTAAAGGCTTGAAGGAAAAGATGGCCATTTTTGTTTCACTGATCTCAAGAGGCGTATCCAATCTATTCCTTTGAGAATCTGATAGGATATGGGTATCCATTTAGTTGGTAGTGGAGATGGGAGCTTGTGTGTGTGAGGAGGTGTAGAGATTCTTGAAGAAGGACACAATGGATGCCTTAATGTCCCCTTGGTCATAGAGCCAGCTTCCACTCTCTTCTTTGAGGAAGAGGATCCTATTTCTTCTTCTCTTGTTGAGAGTGGACGTGTGGAAGAATTTAGTGTTGGAATCCCCTTCATTTAGCCAGTTAATCCTAGATTTGAGTTTCCAGAAATCTTCCTCGTTTTTTAAGATGGAATCAAGCTCACTGGTCAGGTTGCTTTCTAGGTTTAACATGTAACTACTGAACTGGTAATTAGGAGATTTTTGGATTCCAGCAATTCTGGCTAGCATTCTTCTTTTTTTATGGAATATATTGTCAAAAGTGTGCCTATTCCACTGAGTCACAATGCTCTTGAAAGTTTCAGTAGATTGGATTAGGTGGGAGTTAATGGTGAAAGCCTCATTGATGATACTAGGAAAGGATGGGTGGCTAGTCCACATGGATTCAAACCTAAAGGGTCTGTTGGAGTAATTAAGAGAGTCCCCTTTTAGCACAACTTGAATGGGGCAGTGGTCAGAGTGGGTCCTAGGTAGGTGTATCACAGTAGCCTCAAGGTACTGGAAAGTCCAGCTCTCATTGGCAAAACACCTATCGATCCTCTCAAGGATCAGACTAGTCTTATTCTTATATCTTTTGTTAGTCCAGGTGAATTTATTTCCTTTATAACCTAAGTCTAATAAGTTGCATTCATTAAGGCAATCCCAGAACAAGTTACTACGGCTTGGGTTAATTGGGTTGCCCCCAAATTTATCCCTAGCTTTTAGGACTTCATTGAAGTCTCCACCCAAAAACCAATTGTTTGGGTAGCTTTTGGAGATAGTAACTAGGCTTTCCCAGAGTAACTTCCTATTAGCTAAAACGTTACTAGCATAAATAGCAGAAAATAACCAAGGGGTGTGATCTGGAAGTACCTTAACCATGGCATGGATTCCTTGAGGGGTGGTGGAAACCTCATCCACGGTGACATTGTCCTCTTTCCACATCAACATAATCCTCCCAGATAAGCCAATAGCCGGAGATTGGATTAGCATATCGAAATGCAGCTCTTCTGCCAGCTTTTTTTGGTCAGCCATCTTAATCTCTAGCAGAACCATTAGGGCTGGCTTATGGAGATGAACTATATCCATGCAGTGCCTCTTGAACTCAGCATTGTTGCCACCCCTAACATTCCATATGATGTAGTTTATCATGGGTGGTTGGTGGTATGGGGGCTGGCTTTTCTGAGGTTTCTCCGATCCCAGTGGAGTCCTTGTTAGGATCGCTTGGTTCTTTCTCCTCACGCTGAAAACTGGTGTCAGGTTGAGGAGCGGCTTGGTCATTCCCTGGTGTGGTGAGACACTAGGCTCAGTCCGCATTTGGTCATTGTTCTTGGGCACAGCAACACCAGTACTTCGCTGGTCTCCACACTAAACTCTATTGCCCTGACTGAGTCTAGTAGTAGAGAGTCTGTGCGAAGGGGACCGTAGGTTGTTCCTTCCAATTCCGGTGGGCTTTTCCTTTTCAGAAGATCTAGGGCTTTGTTGATTTCCCTTGTAATGTTTCCCAGCGGTGGTGACTGGTTCTTCTCTAGTGGAGCAGAAGGTGATGGAGCCTGGTGTATTTGGGGTTTGATGGTCACAAACACCGGAGACGTTGCAGGGTCTTCCATTGCCGGATATGGAAAGAACGGTATTGACTAGAACGTTTGGGAAATTAGACTGTTGAGCATTGGTGGATCCATGTTTGGTTGCATGTGGCCGTTGCTTCTTATTGTTTGCAAAGGCAGCCAAGGCCTTGTTCAGGGCTTCCACTGTTACGCTCGCCTGATGCGCCGGATTCTGGACAATCAATATCACTGGTTGATTTTCCAGGGTGAAATTGTAGGCTAGACCCTGCCCTTGTAATGCCACCTCCAGCCAGGATGCCGGGGAGTGGTTCGGTGGTAGTGGTAATGACGTCATAATGGTGGGTGGCATTTGTTTTTTTTTATTATTTTTGTGTTTTTTTTTGCTACTTTGGGTAAGGATCACGCCCAACTATGCCTTATAAAAAGGACAAGCAGTCGTTGCAAATATAATCTAAGTATTTGCCCAGAGTCGAATCCACTCGGAATTAACCTACCAATTACTCTTGTTAGACTCACTAAATTCTTCGTGATCAACTTCCCAGATATTTTGAATAACAATTGGCGATATTTTTACTAGCTATAACTGAATAAAGTTAAGTAAACTAAAAGCTAATTATGATTGAGTTGTAAACAATTAAGAGAAGGATCTAAGGTTGTGATTTCCCCTATTGATGGAATCCCTTCCTGTTATGTTTCATATAGATTTGGATAATCGTCTCTATCGATCATGAGCACTCTTACTACCATAAATCTCTCCCGAGTAATTACGACAATTTACTAGACGCACTCTCCCGAGTTACGCTAGCTAGCTTTTATTATAGCTCACTTTAGATCACATCCAAGGCTTCGTAATCCCTAATCCCGCCTTTAAACCCTCGGTTATTGATTCCTCATATACTTTGGGAGCGGTGTTGTTCAACAATTACCTAAATATGCACTCTCTTTCGAGTAATACATACTAAATAGGCACAGCTAATTGAGGATCCTATCAGTTAACTACAACAAGAACATAGTTGAACAAATAGAGATTAAACTGGGCAAACTATATTAACATAACAAGAAGTTCATCCTCAACAGGTTCCATCAAAACCCTAGACTAGATAATTAGCTACTCATAGCAAAACCACATAAAACCACAAAAGTATTCATAATTTGCAAATAAAGATAACAAGAAGAAGATTGAAAAACTCTAATGGTTTCTTGATCTTTTCACACTTGTTCTTGCCTCCAATTCAGTCTAAAAACAAGCTACCTCTTGACTTGGGCGAGTTTGTTGAGTTTATATAGGGTTATGATAAGTTTCTCACGATTTATACTTTGGCCCTCAAACTTCTTGGCTGCCTCCAGCTCCATCGCGGTCGCGGCACGACCGCGGCACGACCGCGGTATTTCACAAGCATTCTATTTCTCGCCTTCTTTTACCGCGTTCCAGCCGCGGTCCCACCGCGGTCGCGGTGAGCTATTGCCCAGTTTTTCTTCACCTTTTCTTGCTCGTTTTCGTCCGGGCTCTTCTCGATTGGCCTTGTTTTCACATATTTGAGCCCAAAACACTCTATATTCTCCTCCCAACTCGGGGTAGTTCCTGCAAAGCATAAAAAACCTCAATTAGAGTATTTTGTTATCATTTAGCACTTAAAACATCAATAAAGTATGGTTAACTTAAGGCATAAATAGCATCTACATCATATAATATAGGCTACTATCAACACCCCACACTTAAACCGTTGCTAGTCCTCTAGCAACAAAACCACACTCTATATGCCTAATCGTCATTGGGTCACTTCCCTACTCCTTATACCAAGAATAGTTCACATGGATAGACTACTTCAGCGCAACCTCCTCGCCTCAAGAGTGGACTCCTTTCTAGCCACGCAATACCCCTAAACAGCTCTCCTACTCTCAGTCAGAGGTCCAGACTTACCTTCCCTTCATGAATCATGTGCCTACTCACTACAAAAGAGACTTATATCGTTTACAAACCACACACTGAGGAACTCAAATACAACATTTCACTCATCCTCAGAACCAAATTCTTATGCCACAAACAACACACCATAGGCTTGCCCGTAGTGTAATACTCAACTAATCAAGCTCATTCGGTCTAGAATCAAATAGGACTTTATTGGTTGTAATGTTGGCTGCGGGACGGGTAGGATACATCTGGGTATAGTGACTACACCTCCCTAAGCACTCCATTACATTGTGTACTTTTAAGCTCTTAACTTTGTCACACCTTCATTCCACCATTACATTATTGTGTTCACCCCTAAGCACACTTTTTCTTTTAACAGCTACCACCAACTTGAGACTTCTCTTCTCTTTTTTTTCTTTTTCTGGTGGCCTCTAATATTGTTTATCAACCAGTGCACCTTTTTCTTTTCATGTCCTCTTAATTCCACTTAATAGCCTAACCAACCACCCCACACTTATATTTTTCCATATCCATTACACTTTGAGTGCTTCTAAGAGGTGATAGGGTTCAACAAGATAGGCTATTTAAACTCGGGTTAGGCTTGTAATGTGGTTGCCAAGGAAAATAGGCTTACAGGCTCAACGGGGTTGACTAGGGTATATACAATTAGGTAGGAGAAAGCATACATAGAAAGGTTAAGCAAAGAAACACCTATATCACTTTCCAGACCAAATGAGGCTACATTTCGCTTTGTACACACACAGGGAAAGTTCTAGGCATTGAATGTTAACACAGAATACAGAAAGCCTCACTCACATATGGCACATGACTCAATTCAGTTAGGATCATCAGACACTCTGTTCTAAGTACTTGAGAAATTCAGAAACACACAATTTAAGGCCTTCTTTGAGTCAACTAAAGAGCCTAAGTGTCACACTAAAGCAGTCTTTATTCAAGGTACCATAGAGTTAAGGGTCCTTATTTCCATTTTTGCTTCTCGCCCAAGACTTCCTAAACTAAAAAAAAATAACTACACCCGGTTCAAATAGAAACCCTTGGAAAAGAACCGTGGTTTAAAGAAAAACCAAGGGGGAGTTGATACACTACCTAACAAACGAAAATCTTTTGTTTTTGTGTTTTTTTTTTGTTCAACTTAAATCCCTCAAGAGACCCGTCGAGAGGTGTCCGTCTTCGGGCCAAGTTGAAGTTAACTAACATAAACCAACAATACCAAACAAAAACAACACCATACAAATTTATACAATTATACAACAACAATCATCCCCCACCCCACACTTAAAGATTTGGCATGTCCCCATGTCAAAGAATATAAAGCAGAGTAAGGTAAGGGGACTTCCCTGGTGCTCAATCCTGATCAGAGACGGTGCTAGGATCGAGGTGACACGCTCGTCCTAGTGCCCGGAGCCAGCCCATGATCTTTTTCTCCGACCTAGCATATTGAGTAGTCAAATTGTCAACTCTAGTACCCAGGTCAGTGATCGAAGTGCGTAGGCCAGCCATTTCTTGCTCCAGGGCTGTCATGCGGGTACTTCGGAGGGCCTGTGATAGGCCCGCCTCATCAGCACTCGGCTGTGGTGGGGCGGCAGCGTGCATAGTTCCCTCATCATCATCATCGGTCTCATCATCAGCATCAACCACCACAACCGGCTCTTTCCCAACTGTGATTTTGCTAGCCCTGAATGGGGCTTTCAATGGCAACTTCCCATCTACTATGGGATTTTCAGGAACTCGTGAAGCACGACACAGCTTGGTGACCAGGGAGGGGAAGTAGAACCCTTTGAGTACTTCCGGGGAGCGAATGAACATCTCTTCTTGGATGAGCCGGGCCACATCAAAATCGTATTGGCTCATGAAACAGTAAATCGCCGTAGCTCTTGGCCCATTAACATTAGTGGTGTTGTTGGACGGTAGCAGACGGCTGTTGATGATCGTCAGCCAACACTTAGCTTCCTAAGTGAGAGATTGAGAGTTCAGGGTAATTCTCGGCTTTATCCATATGAGATTCCGATTAGCCACACAGATTGTTTCAAGAATTGGCTGCCACCCGACATATAGAGAGGGTTGACAACCTCGGTAATAATCTGTCTCTCCAGTGAACACCGGCAACCTGTACACTCGTCGGATGGCCTCAAGAGACGCATCTACCGGTGTACGGCATACCGTGACAACCCTCTCAACATGTTCTGAGCAATGTGCATAGAATTCCCTTACCAGCAGCACATTGCCCTCCTCCGGTTCATCAAAGAAGATGTCCAGATGACGCCTCCTCAATTCTTCATAGATACGGGGGCATTCAATTTGCAAGGCACGCCTGTCAATGAGTACTTCTGGCAATAGCTTTTTGGACGCCTTTGCATGAAACTTATCTTGAGCTGTTTTGGAAACAAACTGAGAGTGGTCAAACTGGTCCGCACTAGCCTGACCCCGAGCTCTGGATGACCCTCCTGGTCCACTGGTGGAGGAACATGTGGCACGTCTCTTCCTTGACTGGTGCATTGTACCTGGGTCTTGTAGAAATTGAGATTGATGGAAGATGGGGTCTTGTAGAAGTGTGTGTGTGTGTGTGAAGAATGGGTTAGGGCTTGGAGAGAAGAAGAAGAAGAAGAAAGAGAGAGAGAGAGATGTTAGTTTAGGGCTTGTAGAGTGAGAGAAGAATGGGGAAAGTGAGGGTGGGGTGGGTGGGTTTTAGTGTTTAAGAGGAGAAAGAAAAGAAAATAAATAAATAAAAAAAAATTAAAACGTGACTTACCTGGGCGACAAACCTATCGCGAATCACCGCGGTCGACCGCGGTCCCACCGCGGCCGTGGTGAGTGAA